TGTGTCTCAGGGAGTGAAGGAGAGGTGAAGGGGCCGTGGAGGCCCAGGGGAGAGTAAGAAGGGTAGTTACTAGCTCTGGGGGCAAGGCCTCCCTGAGGGGCTGCAGTAGGACTTTGTAGAGGTGCCCTGTCTGGTTCTTTGGCCTCTCTGGGATGGCCTGTGATTTGTTGGGAGTCAGGAGTCTGCATTAATGTAAGAGCATGGGTGGGGGTTTGTTTTCATTGTTGTTTTGTGGGCTTTTGGTGTTTTCCAGACAGGGTTTCTCTGTGTAACTCTGGCTGTCCTAGAACTCACTCTGTAGACCAGGCTGACCAGGAACTCAGTCATCTCCCTGCCTCTGCCTCTTGGGTGATGGGATTAAAGGCGTGTGTCCCCACTGCCTGGTGCATGGGTGGGTTTTTGAGGGCTAGGGGATGCACCCCAGGAAATGAGGCCAGGTGGTATTGAGAAACACCTATAGGCTCCGAAGCTACTGGGAAGGGTCTGGAAGGAGTGGGAGAGCCGGTGAGAGAATGATCTCCGTGCACTCTTATGTCTCCTGTCCTGTCCTGCGGAGTTCTGTCTAGTTTTAGTGTTCTTAGCTGAGTTGGTTTGGAGGCGTGCTATCTTCCAGATGTTTGGCCAGCTGTGAGTGATGTCCTTCCAATGCCCTGATTGACAAGCTCCTTCCTCCTGCTGGCACAACCGCTAAATTTTTTCCTTCATGGCAGCCATTTGCACTCTGTGACTGACTATTGAGTGAAGCAGAGACATGAATTGTGAAGGCTGAGGACTGAGTTTTGGCCCAGCCTCTGTCTTCACAGAGGAACAGGCCCCAGCACATGTATCCTGTGGGATGTGGCAAGGAATGTAACCCCTTCATCTACCTCAGACGGTTACAGAAATAAATATTGAGAAATATTTTTGAGGGGAAGCACTCATGTTTAAAGATATTTGTTTGGGGGCTGGAGAGATGGCTCAGCAGTTAAGAGCACTGTCTGCTTTTCCAAAGGTCATGAGTTCAATTCCCGACAACCACATGATGGCTCACAACCATCTATAATGTGAACTGATTCCCTCCTCTGGCAGATATAAATGCAGATAGAACACTCATAGACATAAAAAAAAAAGTCTTAAAAATTTTTGTTTGTCTAATTTGTAAGATTCCAAATCGCAAAAAGAAATTTAGTTCAAATGCATAAAGAACATTTGCATTTGGTCAGGAGATGAACAGGTGTGCCGCAAAACAAAATCACTCATGCTGTGCAGCGACTCGTTCAAATCTTTGAGTCCTGCTGTACCTTAAGTTGGACACTATTGCCTTAGGAAAGGGAAGGGAATGTCAACATCATCATCATCATCATCATCATCATCATCATCATCATCATCATCCATCATTATTTGCTTTTGAGACAGAGTCTGTTTCAAAAGCAAATGTAATCTAGGCTGGCATCAAACAGATGGTGATCCCGCTGCCTCAGCCTCTTGAGCCCTGGGATCACAGACGTGCCACAAGCCTGGCTTTAAAAAATAGTTTTGAAGTGCATAAAATATCTCTTTCCCAACAGAACAGACCTAAGAATCTGGTCCCTTGGTATCAGGCATAGAGGTTCAACCTCCCCCAGTTACAGGTGTTTCCTTCTTACCCTTGCAGGCTTTGGGCTTTCAGTACCAACTCTGCTCCCTGGTGTTGAGTGGAATACTGGGGGAGGGCTTTCCAGACCCTTGCTTTGTATGCTCTGCTTCTGGCCTGGAGAGAATGATAGAATCTCTGAGAGGCAGCAACTGGTTCTTCCCACTGGCCTGGAAGAAAATAACCACCACTTTTGTTTCACCCTGTTTGGACTCCTGTGTCTCTCCACATCCATTGCCAGAAGAAGCCCAAGTCAGAACATTTTCCTGAAAAGCACAAACAGGAAGAAGAAAGGGGCAGTGGCCTCAAGCCCATGAATAATTCATGCATACCCATTCTAGCCTGTTAGTAATTGATTTAACCAAGCAGTATGTCCTTATGGTGATATTCTGGGTTTACTTTGCATATGGGTCCATACATTATGGCTCCATCTTTGCACAGAGCTGTTCCCATTTTTATTAAAACAAGCCAGTTTTTCATTGAAGACTTTTCAAGCACTCTCAAAGATAGTTTTTGGAGTTGGGTGGATCTGGGTTTGAGTGTGGGATGGGCCAAATTTGAGCTGTGTTTCTCTGTCACAAATTGGGGTTGAATATTCAGCACTGACTGGAGAATTAGTAATCCTTGACTGAAAGGGGCTGGTGTATAAAGACTCTCTCTGGCTGGCCTCTTCACCTTCGCTTTGGGCCTATACTCTGTGCTGGTGACTGCAATGTCTGTGTCTCCGAGCTACCGCAGGGGACCCAGGTGGGAAAATGAACAACAATAGGACCTCCTTCTGCTGAAGAAGAAAGGCTGCGGATCCTGAAAAGGTCTGGGTTATGCCTGTGGAGTACAGAAACCTCAAAAGATGACTGAAGTTCTGAGGAAGCTATTTTTGAGTGGCAGCCTGCTGTGAGAGGAGCTTTCAGAGCGAGCTTATTTCAGGCCCATTGTAGCTTCCCACCTGACTGTCTGCCCTGGCCTGGTGTTTATACCCCATCTGCTGGTGCAAAGGTGAAGATGGACTCTCCTTCCATTGAGAGGCAGGCAGTGCTGGCTGCCTTCATGTGGACTAGCATAGAGACCTGGGGAAGTGTCCGGAACGAAAGAAAGCCAGGATTGCTAATTAAAGAAGAGAAGTGCTATTTTCTTTATTGGCATGGGCCGTCTGGTTGGTGACAGTATCTTTTCATGCTGAACCTCTGGTAGGGGAACTGTCTCACCAGAAACCTGGGAAATGGTAGCATCCATTGTTAGCTTCAGAGGTGCCAGGATATGTAAATGCTCATCACTTCCTCATCTGCTTAAAGGTCATATAGTCCTCAATACCAAGTGCATGAGTAAGGAGTGTGGCTTTTGCATAATAAAGTGCCGGAGGCTGAGACAGGGCAAAAGGATTGGTGAAGATGCAGGCAACACACGCAGGAGGAAGACAGAAGAGAGACAGGACAGGGCTGGGAGAACCTTCAGGGGAGATGCAATGACTGAGAAGGGTTAAGTCAGAGGTTAGTGAGAGAATGGGCCAGTAAAAGACCAACAGGCTTAAACTATATAGATGTCTTATTAAACCTCAAGTGGGGTCTCTGAAAGCCTCCCAGTAGGTCCCCTACACCTGTGCTGCTGGAGATCTCTGGGATGCCGACCCTGATGTGGACAATACAAGACATACAAGATGTCTCTTTGGGGGCCCTCGAGCCTGACAAGTGTGAGAGACAGAGAGAGAGACAGACAGAGAGAGAGAGAGAGAGAGAGAGAGAGAGAGGAGCCTAGACCCACCTTAGACTGCTTCCCAGAGATCTGGGGAGGTCACAGAGATGGGACTGGCTCTCATATGCCCACCATGGATATGGATATGGGGTGGTAGCTCTTTGTTGTGAAGGCAATTTCCAAAGATGGTAGATGGTAGGTGGTGGGCTTCCAGTATCTTGGATGGGGTCAGTGGTAGATCATTTGCATGGGCAAGGCCTTGGGTTTTTGTTTTTCTGTAATTTATTTATGTGTATGGGTGTTTTGCACATTTGTGCACCGCTTGCCTGCCCTCAGGGACCTAGCAGTTGCTTAAATCATCACCTGGCATTGCCGGGTCTATGTGGATAAAAAGACTGCCTGCCATCCTAGCTCTCTCCCCACTTTCTGTCCTTCTCTCTGCACCCATCCCCCCAACACTTCTCGGCCCTCATGGCTCTGCTCCTGTCTGTCTGCTGTCTACATGTCCACTGTTCTCCTCTACCTCTTCTTTAGGCTCTCATTCCACTCCCTTCTTCCAAGTAAAGCCCCTTTATACCAGATCTGTTGCATGGCATATTTTCTCAGGAGCTCACCTTGGCATGGACCTGCCATGGCACCTCCTCACTCCATTTATTTCCTAACAGCATGTGCATGCCTGGTGCCCACAGATGCCAGAGAAAGCATCAGATTCCCTGAGACTGGAGTTACAGACGGTTGTCAGCTACAATGTGGGTTCTGAGACTTAAACCCACTGGCTGGTCCTCTGCAAGATCAGCCAGTGCTCTTAACTGCCAAGCCACTTCTTCAGCCCAAAGGCTTTGGATTTGATTTCTATACTACAAAACCAAAAGACCTTGGTCACACATCAGAGACCTTCAGAGGGACTGTTTAAAGCCGTCGCTCTTTTCTCTAATTTCAACTCTGCATGAAGAATCAACTAAACTTCATGCTGGAAGGTCTTTTTAGTTTTTAATTAAAACATTTATATCTGCTTACAATCTCAAACATATATACAATGTATTGCGATCATATCCGCATACCCTACTGCTTTCTCTTACTTTCCTACTCCTAAGCCCATTTGCTTCCCTGCCTTTGTGTCTGTGTGTGTGACAGTTTAATTATGGTTGCTTGTTAGGAGTACGGGGAGGGGAATATTTATTGGAGCATGGACAGTATACCAGTGGCTATACTATTGGAAGAAATGACTCACTTCCCTAGCAAGAATTAATGGCCAGCTGTTATGTGCGTGCTGTACGTGAGTCTTTCCCCATATATGCTGAAGGGCCACATCTAGTAGATTTTGTGTAGTCAGCCATAGTTACCCTGTGTTCATGAATGCAATGGCCATGCTGTACCCAGATGATCTGCTGAAGCTCCAATACTTCATACATCCCAGGGCCTGGAAGGGTACACTGGAGAGGAATAACGGACAGAACGGAAGTGCTGGCACATCTGCCACAGGTCGAGATGAATGAATTACCTCTGGCCAGATTTTGCCAAGCTCAACTTCAGTGTTGAGTCAGAACACTTTTCTGTATATATATATTTGAACATTTCTAGCTTTAAAGAAATGCGTCTAAAGGAGAGTGTGGAGGTGACATACAGGGATCCCAGCTACAGGGACTCCTGAAAAAGTATTTGCAGAGATCAGACAAGATGAGTTCAACAATGTGCTTGTCCTTTTATTATAAAAGTAAAATAAAAAATAGCATTTATAAATCCAACATTTTTTTCTTTTAAAGTATTTGATTTAGAAAACATATTTACAATAGTAAAATGCAAAAAAGGGGTAAAATACTATATTCAGCGCTGATTGTAGTATGTTTTAAATATTGTTAAGTTCATGTGTTTTTTTTTTAAATCACAGATAAACCACATTAGAAAAAGCAATGTCTTTTTTTTATTGCGCATCACGTTACTCATTTAAAAATATGTTTTCTTAATATTAATTTGAACGCACAAATATACTGTAGATGGCTAGGAAGAACAGCAGGTGGGGACACCTTTTAATGACAGCAGGGACCACAGAGGGGCAGCAGCAACAGGAAGCGCGTGGAATCCAGCAGCAGCTGGATAAGCTCAAGCCACCATACCCCAAGCCGCACTGCAGCGCAGCTGAGTGCTGTGACTGCTAGACACCGTCTGAATGTGACAACTAAAATTCATTTCAGAACCAGGAAAGGAAGCCAAATTCAGAAGGCCTTGAACGCAATCAAGAATGAGTCAGCAGGCCGGCAATCCTCCAGCACCTTCGGATGCCCTTCGCCTTCCTCCTTTGGAACGATGCAATGGAATTTCAGGGCTTTGGTTTACACGGTGCGGGGAACTGCAGCAGGCTAAATTTTGCCTTCTATAGGTCCTTCCTGCCCATAATTGTGGGGAATTTTGTTCAGAGATAGCAGTGAGCTGTCTCCAGTCAAAGACTCGGTAAAGCTGAGTTTGCGGAAGGAGGTCTCCACACCACTGTCACAGACACTGTCGCTGTCCCGGAGCTCTTCTGCAGAGAAAGCACAAAGTTGTCAGGGGCTTGGCCAAGTCAAGGCGAGGCAAAGTCCTACCCGGCTGCTCTAGTTATCTCCAACTGCCAACTCCTCATGGTCTAGAGTCACCTGAAAGGGACTGGCCAGATGAGACCGGTCTGTGGGCATGTCTGACAGTTAACTGACAACCCAGCTCACTATAGACAACTTGACTTCCTACAGACAGCATCACTCGTGAGAGAGAGTCCTAGGCTGTGTAAGAAAGGTGAGATAAGCGTGAGCCAGTAAGGCAGCAAGCAGTAGTCCTCGGCAGTTTCTGATTCAAATTCTTCCTCGAGTTCCTGTCTTCCCTCAGTGACGGATGGTAACCTGTAAGCTGACATAAACCCTTTCTTCCCCCAAGCTGCTTCTGGTCAGAAGGTTTTATCTGAGTGTCCTCATAAAACCAGAACACCTGCCACAGCGGTGGGCTCCCTTCCCAGGTTCTGCTGGGGGCGACTGTACGGAGGGATGTGCTGGCTAGCTTCCATCCGCCATGACGTCAGTGTTGCTCACAGCGGTGTGAAGGGCAAGAAATACCAAACGACATTAAAAGCTGCTGTAGTGTCGCAGCTGCTTTTGAAACCTTGCCTTCTGTTTGCCAGAGTCCCGTCTGAATTCTCCTGATTCAGAATATGCATGTTTCCCCCTTAGGAATGAGACACGTTTCTAACTGTCCTATTACTTTCTTACAGCTGTGAGAACTACTGAGCACAAGACAAAATACATTCATGACAGAAGGAGAAACTAAAAATGAGATCTCTCTCTGGGCTGTATGAACTATTAAATAATACACATTGCCTAAACATGTTTTTTTTTTTTGGTTTGTTTTTTTTTTGATAGAAGAAAATGAGTGTGTTTTGTAAAATCTGTCTATACTTAAAAGTTTAAGTTAAATTCTATTTGCTGAAAAGCATCCTTGGGGATCTGACCAGAGCAGATTATTTTCTGTATAGAGTGACTAAGGAAACAGAAGCCTAACACTTAGCAAAATGCTTGATTCTCACTCATCACTGAATCTTAATGTCAGAACACTGAGAGTCAGTGTTGTCCTGGTGCTGACTCAGCCAACCAACAGTCTTTATTTGCCATTATGTAATGGGAACTGTCGAGAACTTTAAAGGCTTACTGTTTATTAAGGTTTGGATCGTAAGCTGTCCTCCTAAGGCTGTGTGTTAAGTAAAGATCTGTTTCCAAGCCCGGGACATTATTTGAGTGGTATGACTCTTTTGTAGGAAGGTCCTCAAAGAAGGAAGTGAGGTCACTGAGGGTGTGGCCTTAAGGAATACTGGGACCCTGGCCCCTCCCCACCACTGTGTACTCTCCAAACATATCGAAGTGAGGATTCCTCCAGCATGTGCTTCCTCCATGAAGGGCTTTGCCATACCCTGAAGGCAACGGACCACGGAACCTGTAAACTCTAAGCCCAAACCAAATCCTTCCTCCTTATAAGCTGGTCACAACAATGGAAGTCTAAGACGATATTTAGGTATTGACTCTGTGTTTGTGGGCTATGCACATGTGCACGCGTGGGGAGGCCAACATCGGGTGACTTCCTGAATTATTCCCCATCTTAATTTTTGAGACTGGCCAATGAATCCCATGTATCCACCCCTCCTGGTGTCCCTTCCTCCTCCATGGTTGGGCCACTGGGATTACAGGTCTTTGTCACCCTAGCTGTCTTTTCCAAAGATACAGGAGAGGACAAAGTTAGGCCCTCACACTTGCCATCTTCCTAGCTTCTAAGTATTCACTATTCAATTCTGATAGGAGCACCATCATGTCACAGCCCTGTGGGGCAGAGGACAGATGGAGGGCTCAGCACAGGGCTTGGAGCCTCTGTGGGAGCTCAGGCAAGAAGTGCGGAGCACTGGCCTGGGCAGCTGCCATGAGGGAGCCTGCTGGGTCCGACACGAGGCACTGAGTGTCAGGAAACATCCATGGCAACTCTTAGCTTTTGTCTTAGCCTGGAGGCTGGCTGTACTTCTGTCAGACATGGCCAATATGAGCTCATGTAAGAGTTGTGTGCAGACGGTAAAACTTACTCGGCCATAAAGAAAGATGAAATTTGCAGGGAACTGGATGGAGCTGGAAAATGAAGGTAACCCAGACAGACAAACACTGCATGTTCTCTCTCATGCAGGGATCCTGGCTTCCGACAGTCACACATGCATATTTATGTGGGAGTGAGTGTGGGTAGAGGCCAGGAAACTACGAAAGGGGCCTTTGAGGTGTGTGTGGGGGAACGAGGCTTTAAAAGGAAGTAAAAGGGTAGGGAGAGTAATAGAATGCACATGAAAGTGGAAGGGGAAGATGGCGGAAGAGTACAGGTAAGGGCACAGGGTGGGGGCAGGGCTGGGAGATGGGGAGGAGAGGCAGTGGTAAGGAGAATAAACCAAAACTAAGTATATAAACATGCCTCAAGGAAACCAGTGCCCAGACACATGAACATGCATACATAAATACCCAAACTTCTCCACAGAGAAGGAAGCGTAGGCCTGGACCTGCCTATGGAAAAGAGGAGGAGGTAGTAGTTGGGTGTGCTGACAAAGCCCTGAGTGGGCACTGACGAGCAAGGGGCTAGGAGCCGTGACAAACGCATCAACAAGATGAACAGGATGATGCCAATTCTGGCAACATGTGAGGTCCCTGTGAGGAGAGCAGCCCTAGGAGTGGTGAGGTCAGAACCAGAAGTAAGGGGTCAGGAAGTGGACAGGGGTGCAGAGGTGGGCTGCAACGCTAATATTCTTCTCACAAGCCTGAACTCAGCTGAAGGGTGTAACACGGAAGTGACGTTTTACATTTCTGATTTTAAAGCCTGACAACTAGGTTATCCACAGCAGGTGGGGAAGGAACGGAGCGTACGAGATACGGGACAAAGAGGCAAGAACCAGGCGGCCAGGACCTGCTGACGGTGAGAGGGAGGTGCCCGGGGAAGGCTGCCCTGGGTGGGGGGCAGACACAACCTGCTGAGCCCAGGCGGAAGACCTCCCACACCGGTGTCAGCAAAGGGCACAGATGGGAGACTGCTGGCTGTTTCTGTTTTCAGTGGAGTTTTGTGGCTGGGGTTCAAGATGAGCAAGAAGAAGGGTGCTAAGGTGTAGAGAAAGCATGAGACAGTTCGAACAAAGTAGAGTAACGGAATTCCTGGCCTGTACTAAGATCCATTCCTACAAATGTATGTTTTGGGGGATGACAGGTGGAACTGTTCACGAGGGAAGGCAAGTCAGGACCATGAGCATGGACGGGAGCTGAAGGAAGGCCAGGCTGGTGGGAGGAAGTGGAGGCCCTGAGGTCCGGTGGTGTGGAAGGAAGGGTCATATATTATCCTATCGCCTGGGCTCTACAACTTGTCCTGCGAACCCGGGGCTGTGCATCTTTCTCAGAATCTCTCTTTAGATATAACAAGCATGAGAAATAGTGTTTGTTTAGCCTCCGTATCCAATGTTTACTGGGAAGCTACGTGACCCATGTGCCAGTATGACTGTCTGTGGGAACTTCCCCTTCCTGTGTTTGGGAGCGTGGTGGGGTGTGGGTGGCATTCCAGGTAGGAAGATGCATCCAGGAAAAGGTGAGGAAAGGAAACTGTAGCGCCGCATCACGAAGCACGAAGACCCTGCTCAGGAGAAAAAGGGAATCTCTCAGCCTCTTTACCTATGTGCTGCCTTGTGGAGGAAGAGGAGAGAGGCAGCGAGTGGGCCTGAGCAGTGATCACGGGGCTGGAGTCTGTGGTTTCCCGGGTGCAGAAGGCTGCCTGGATCACTTCAATGGCCTCTGTGTAGCCCATCTGTCGCAAGGCCTCCATCAGTTCTTTGATGGTGCCCCCAGAGACCTGGTAGGAAAGTGGAGAGTATGTTCGTGTGTGCCAGCCCACTTGCAGGCTGCTAACATCAGCATCCATCCCTTCCTCCCCGGGTCTGCTCCAGAGAGACAGGGGGCCTGGGGAGGGCAGGGAGAGGAGCACCTGAGAAAACAGCGCTTAGCTTCCAGTTCCCATCTTAGAAATTCACTCAGGAAGTCACAGGAGAGATGGAGAAGGGGAGGATAACAGAGACGGAGAAGACGGGGGAGATGGAGAAGGTAAGGGAGAGGGAAAAAAGGAAAAGGAGAGAGAGAAAAAGGAGGAGAAGGGAGGAGAAAAAGCTTGTGAGTTCACTCAAGGCAGGGAGACTGCCTACAGTGACATCTACTCGCAGAAATCCAGGAAGACAGCGGCTAACACTGACAGGCTCATTCACAACACTCCTGTCCATGTTCTTCCACATTTTGGCTTACAATTGCTCCGATAGGAGTCACCTCATAGAACAATGAGCCCATGGCCCGGGGTCACCCTTTTGGAAACAGGGGATGTGCACGCTGATCATAGCTTAGAGGGATCCCAGCTGTGTGGTGGCTGCATTTTCCCCAGGAAGGCACTAAAAACAGGGAATGTTTAGAGGCAGGTAATAGTCTTCTCAGGGAAACAACTTCATCCTGGCCTGGGTGCCTTTGCCTCTCCATGTCCCAGGCAATGACTGATTCCCTTCCACAAAACTACTCCATGGGTAGGGGACTGTGGTGGGCTGTGGCCTTAACACAGTCAACTTCCAATAGTGACATACACAGCTAAATGCTGAGGGGGAGCGTTACCTCATAGTTGTCCATAAGCGTTTTAGAGGGAGCAGGACTCAGCCGGAAGGCATTACTCAGAATCCCCAGCCCTAACTTCTGAGCCAGAGTGGCCCAGTTTTTGTCTGGATCAGGAGTTTCCAGCAGCTTACAAAGCTGCAGCCTCGTGTCTTCTGCTAGCTGCTTCATGTCTCCTAAGGAAGAAATATGACTGTTTTAGCCTTCCAGGGACTATCAACTGGAGAGCATATGTCACTGCAAACTTCTGATGGAGGCAACTGAGCTTCTGGAAAGTCCAGAGCCCCAGCTGAGCAGCAGCAGCCTGTACTTATCTCAGTGAGGACCAAGCCTTTCTCCTTCCCACCTCTAGGCCTGGGCCTTCCGCACACCCTGGACCGGGCTGGTCTTCTCGCTCCTCTCACAGAGCAGAGCAGGGGCAGCAGGGGCAGCAGGGGCTGAGAAACTGTTCTGCCACACTCACCTTGTGGCAGTATATCGTCCGATGTGAACACCCGCTCATATGGTTTCCCATTTAGTATGTCAAATACCTGTTGGAAAGAAAAACATGAAATACTCACAGAAGTGATTTTCACAAATCTGTAACTACGGAGGGTTTCCCGGTGCTCTCTGAATGACTTTGCTGATGGTACACAGGGTAGAAGCGTCAGGGGTCACTGCAGGGGGTCAGTCGTCTGTGTTCCCAGCAAACAGGCTCCCAGGAGGTGCACGGACAGATGAGGAGCTACGCTGATCCGTACAAATCCGACCGCCTCAGACCTGCACACTTCCTACTTCGCCTTCCGGCTCTTTTTCTCTGGGCCCAAATCCCTAGTGACTGCTTTCTCCTTCAAGTCTAGGCTCAGCTGAGTTTTAAGGAAGGTTTTAAAAATGTTTATGGAAATCCACAAGAGAATTCCTAGTTTATTTTTATGTTCAAAAACCCCTCCCCAAAGTTCTGAGCAAACTGGCTTTTGACTGAGATGGCAAGCCTCCTGGTCACATGCTCAGGAGTAACTTCTGTGGATCTTGTGCTTTCTAACCTCTCACATCTCAACTCTGATCTGATTAAGCAAACAGCGTCACACTCGGGCTCAGCTGACCTAGATCTTTCATGGATAGGCACTTCAAGATTAATGTGCCTCTTGGTCAGCACACATCATAAAAACAAAGGCAGGCTCTTCAGGGAAGACAGTGCCAATAAGACCATCGGTTTTTACGTTCCTGAGCCACTGGCTTCCCCGGAACACCCATGAGATAGGCTGGGCAGTGCTCACCTGCCAGTTGGCAGCCATATCCAGGGGTGTGGTGCCAGGCACCACACCCTCATCTTCTCCAGCCTTCTCCCAAGAGTCGTCCAGGTCATAGAGAGGCTCAAAGTTCTCCACCAGGGGGTCTGCTCCTACAGAGTCAGGCAACACAGTGTTATGTCAAATGCAAAGCTTGTCAACACCCAAATGCACACAGGGGTCACATTTCTAAGGACAAGTTACCTCTAGCTCATGAGGCAGTTACAGGAGAATGGTTCATTTTCAGTAAGATTTAAAACAACTTTTAAATTTTAATTTACTTTTACTGGTAAGGTACCATAGGGTGCCCTCTACAGCCAGGGCACCATCACACAAAAAGGATTGCCAACACTCCAACTTGCAACTCCGCAGGATGTTTTTAATCTAAGGACTAGTAGGCGGCAATTTACAGGGACCAAGATGCACCCACAAGGGTAAAGCGCTGAATCTTCACATTTACAGCCACCAATGCATATACCTCTCACCTTCTCCTCTTGCTTGCTCAAAACAGCAGATCTGCCCTGAGCGCCCTACTTTTAGGGCCCTAATTCTCAAGCAACAGAAAAATAAACACCAAAAGAACCCTGTGCTAAGTTGGATGTGTTGTTATGGAAAAAAAAGTGCTAACAAATCTTGGGACTCCAGCTGTTCTTCAGCTTCCAGCAAGAAAACACACAAAGTAATCCAAATGTTAGTGGGAGTTGCCTCTTAAGGCCTTCCTTGGCTATTCTACTGGTGTTCAGCTTGGCGTGTAATGAACAATGGCAGGCTCAGCACAGCCTTTGGGATGAAGAATTTGCCTCAGCTCTGCTGGAAGAACACTTGACTTGGGCTCATACCATGCTGTCTTGCCACCCTCTGCAGTGTGGCCTGCTCTTTTATAATGTAATCAGTGAGATGGCCAGGAGCATGATGGAGACGTGAGTGTGAAGGCCTGAGGGCTACATATGTACCTCATGACTGAGGGGGCCAGGGCTACGGCTAGGCTTCTTGTTTTGTTTTCTTTTTCACATAAGCTATTATTTGCAACATTTTCATGGTAAATTCAAGCGAAAATTTTCACATTTTTATTTATGTATCTACTGTTGAGACAGTATTTCACTATGTATATTTGGTTGGCTTGGAACTACACAGACCAAGGTGGCCTAAGCTTGTGGCAATTCTCCTGCCTCAGCCTCCTGAGTGTTGGCATTTCAGGTATGCATCACTATGTCTGACTAAGAGATACTTTTTTTCCAGTGTAATCAGTGACTTCCAAAATGACTCACACATATTACTACCATTACTACTGGGGCTTCTTGGGCAAAATGAAGTTCAGTTTGACTAAGGAGACAGAAAGGCTGTTGCTTACTCTACTCTGTCCCTCTACCTTTATGATAGGAACTACATCTACAATCCAGTTTGCTCGAATTTATGAGGAATGTGCCTTCCACAAATCCTTCTGTAGCGACCTCTGAAGCAGATCAGGTGTGTCATGACAGGCTGGGAATGCAGATGTCATCAGCCATGAGTTAGCACTAAATGCACAAGGTGCTGGAGACGTGGGCTGAGCTAGAACAGATCCCTATGCTTTGCAGGACTAGAGAGGAAACGGAAGCACCAGAGAAGCCCAAGCAAAGTAGACACACCAGGCGGAAGGAAGAAGTGTGCAGGTTCGGGCTGTGGAGGTGTGACTCAGCTGTCCAGGACACTGGGAGTGGGGCCCGATGGTCTTTCTAGCCTGTCTTCTTGGCGCTAAGATGGGATTAAGAGCAACGGCACTTATCTCAAAGAGTTGCTGAGGACTAAATGTGGTAAAGCAGACAGTGTATGTGGGATGCCAGCATGGCGCCTGGAACACAGTAAAGACTGAATGCCAGCAAGTTTTAATGCCCCGTGCACAATAATATGAATACACGGCTCGTTTGTTTTTCCTATGATGTCAGCTTCTAGGGGACTTTACTTGCAGAAGGAAGTCTTTAAATATTTTTCTTCTGGGGGCTTGTAATATGACCAGGCACTGATATAGCTCAAGATTTTACAGCCACCGAGTCAACCTGAACAACCCAAATGCAACACAGACACATGAATCACAGGGTGGAAACTAACATGACCTTCATGGTAAACCCAGGCTTATCAGGCCACAGAGAGCCCTTATTGCAGCTGAAGTGTGACCAGCCACATAGCTTTCATTTACCCACTTTCCAGAACCAGAACTGCAGCTCAGTAGGCAGCGTTGCACTCCCAGCCAGAGTGTGCATTGCTGATGTCAACGTCCATCAGTGACCGGCTGGCCATCTTACCTGCTGCTTTGAGAAGCGCTGCCAGTCTGGTGGAGCCTCTTCCAGCCGCTATATGTAGAGGCGTAGTCCCGTCGTAGGTTGTACTGTCCACGTCAGCATCACCCTAAATTCACCACAAAGAAAGTTAGCAGATGGCTCTCTTCTCCCCTTGTCTACCTCCCTGTCTACATGGCCCCTCAGGTTATACCATTCGCCCCAACTGCCATACTGTGCTGTCTCTGTCATTGAGGAAGTCCCCAGTCAGAGAGCTGGGCTGGGCTGGGATGCAGGAAGTGTCCTCTCTGAACTCCTGCACAGATGTTAAGCTGTGTGGAATTTCTACTGCTCAGCTCACCTGGTCCTGGCATCATTCTTTGAAAAGACTTCCCTAAGAGTCCTTGGGGATTTAGTTCAAGACCACAAGTATGTCCTTTACCTCCAGAAGCAGGCAGCCAGCCAACGAGATGTTGTCATACTCCACGGCCAGGTGCAGTGCTGTACGCCCAGACGTCTGCTCCTGAGCATTGACTTCTGCCCCAGCAGCCACAAGCAGCAGCAGACATGGCAGGCTATTGCTCATCACGGCTATGTGGATGGCATTTAGACCTAGGGCCAAGCAGAGGCACACATGTGGGCCGGATTGCCAAAACTGGACTGTGGGAAGGAGGGACGCCACCAGGCTGCAGCGATGCCACCAGGCTGCAGCGATGCCACCAGGCTGCAGCACTTCTGGTTTCTGTTCTGAGCATGCTTCAAAGGCTCAGAACAAAGGTTCTGCTTTTAGAGGCCACAAGCTCTCATTATGCTCACAGGAGAAACCGAGTTACTAAATACACATAAATAATGCTTTGTATAAGACCAGTGTTTGCTCGGGCCTGCTTTTCCACTTATAAGTAACTCTCCCAATCATCTTTAAAGGAGTCTGCTGTGGCAAACAGCAGAAAAAAACACAAGATATGATGAGCTCCAGCTGGCCAAGGAGAGCACTTGTGGGAGAAAGTCAAGTCCCACACATTTTTCAATGGCCAAGCAATTACACAGAAGCTGAGTGGGGAAGGGTAGACCTCCCCTTACCTTCTCCGTTGGGACGGTCAATAAGGAGTGCTGCTTTTCTGCTCTTGAGTAGGACACTGAGGATTTTGTCATGTCCTTCTTTGGCGGCTAGGTGCAGAGCAGAGTTACCCCAGCGGTCCAGAAGGCTCATGTCAGCCCCAACCCTCAGCAAGTCCTCCACCACGTCTTCCTGCTTGGTGATGACGGCTAAGTGCAAAGGTGTCTAGGTAGAGAAGGGGCCGGACAGACACTGGTTGGCTGTGAGCATCTGCAGTACCTGGCTTCAGAGCTATCATTGCAGTGTGGGAGTCAGGCAGGTCCTCACTACACAGGCTGGACTTCACTGTGAGGCTCCTACAGAACAGACTGGCTTGCGCTGAAGGAAGGTGTTGCTCTCTATCAGTGATCTCAGTTCTTTCTATGCCACACTTGGGCTATTCTGAACAGGTCTCTAGGGAATGGGTGGATGTGGATAGGAACTTGATCATGATAGATGGTCACAGCGATGTACTATGACTAGTGACAGATAGTCAGGGAGAATGTCTATGGTAATTTACAAATAATCCAAAATACTTAGACAACTATTTAGCTTTCCATCAAGAATAGTTATTAAGTTATATGTGATGTGTGTACATCTGTAATTACAGCTCCGTGGAGTGTGAGGCAGGAGGGTTGCCCTGGGTTTTGGGCCGTCCTAGTCTATAAAGTGAGTTCCAATCTTGTTTGGGCTATATTATAGGATCTTGTCTAAACAAACAAGCATCAACAACAACAAAACCAAAAACTCCAAACTTAGTTATCAAGCTGGGTGGGGTACACATTTGTAATCCCAGCACCCAAGGAGACACAGGAGGATTGTCTGCTCCATGCCAACCTGGGCTACACAGCAAGTTCTAGGCCAGCCTGGAACACAGTGCTCTGTGAGGAGAGATGGCTCAGATGAAAGCCTCCTCAGAGCGACAGGCATTTTCTTTGGTGTGGGGGACTGAACCCAGAGCATTACACATGGGGTCTACTCCCAGCCTCCCATTTACAATTCTCAAAGTAATTTTCAAATGCTGAATTAAAAATAAGAAGTAATTTGATGATTTCTTTAAAATAAAAGAAAATGAATTTTTAGATCTTTGTGTGTGTGTGTACTTAATTTCCTTCTTTCCTTCCTTCCTCTTTCCTCCCCGCCACATTCCCCCCTTCTTTCTTTCAAGTGTATACTGGCATGAGTGCCACAGTGGTGCACACAGAGGCTGGAGGACAACCATGGGACTCGTCCTTGCCTTTCACTTTGTTTTGAGGCAGGGTCTGTTTAACTCCCACCAGACTCAGTGATGCTCTGGTCCTCACATCTGCACAACAAATACTGCATCTGCTGAGCCTTCTCCCTGCTTCTTTTTAATTACTTTTAAAATAATGATTTAAAAAAAAATTAAAATGAGACCACATGCCAGGAACTGTGACACATGCCTGTCAATCCTGGCATGCAGGAGGCTGTGCTACAACACTTGATAGTTCAACACCATCCTGGGCAACACCAAGGGGTGGGGGTGTGTGGAGATGGAGGTGGGGAAGGGGGCAGGAGGAGATGGGGGCAGCATCGGCGGGTGTGGGGAGAGAACACACAGACAGAGATATGAAGGAGTGAAAACAATTTGAGTAATTTGCTTTAAAAATGGAATGATGGAGTTGTAGTTTGGCAGGGCATATGCTCAGCTCTGGATACAGTCCCAACCAACCAACCAACCAACCAAAAACCCCAACAGCACAAACAAACAAAATCAAATGAGAAATCAAAGAGTTCTTATCTCTTCTAAGTAGAAATTATACATGGCTGCTGGCCATAGGTTAGCAATGACGGGAACATGAGCTCGAAGCAGAGGCCCCAGCATCATCCTGGCTATGGTCAAGTGAGTACGGACAAACATAAAAGCTAACAAGAGGGCAAGAGCAGACCCAGAGAGAGGATTGGAGAGGTGCAAAAGGGTGTGGATGGAAATAGTGAAACGAGAGGAGAGAGGGAGGAGCCCCCAGAAAGTAGGCCACCATCTTGGCTCAGGTTGACACCCCATACTCAAGACTTTGTTTCTGCCAATGGAATTTCTATTCTTTGCTTTACCCTAAAATCTACTGGAGTTTTCAGCCCTCCTAACTTCTCAAACCTGAGCTGGACAGAAGATTTTCTTATGGAGGGTTGTTTTTCTGTTCTTGTAGCCTCTCGCCTCTCCATGCTCTGATCTCAGAACCTTTACCTCATACACACTTGATCGGGTTACTGTCCAAATACCTCTCCCCACATTCGAAATTCGTATAAAGTACTGTTTTTCACACTTGATTTTTTTCAACTTGATTTTCTTTACAGCTGTGACTTTTTTCTCCCTAGCTTCTCCCTCAAAACTGTATCAACTCTGACCCCTAGACCGTAAAGTCTCCCTTTTGTAGAGGGACACTGAGTTTTAGTGTGGGCTGATTGCATCCTCACACATGCCATCCCAAAACGTGTCTTTATAAAATAACATTCCCAACTAAAGACACTTTTAAGATACTTCTTACAAAAAGGTTTTGTTTTCTTTTTTTTCCTGTTACTAAAAACAGCATCCCCATGTATTATAGAGTAATGCTTTTTCCTTCAGTGATTGCCTTGAGATTTTTGCCTACCTGATACAGATCATTTCTCATGTTGATGATGTCATCTGAGATCAAACCAGACGTGACTTCTAGCAGATCCCTCACGAGCTGAGCATGAAGGTGGATGATGGCTAAGTGTAAGACGCTGGAATGAAACACAATAATTAACTAGGGGCTTAACAAATAGCAGTAACAAAACACTTCAAGAAATGGTGAGAGCTGAGGACTTGAATCCAGCGGTTACGGGTAGCTTTCTTTGGTCCTACCATGTTTTGATTCTGCAAATGTATGGATCTGAGGTAACATGCTTTCTCTGGATGACTTCCTCTCCCACTGCTTATCTCAGGCTACCACACTCACTGAGAGTGCCCACCTGCCTGCGGGGGTGCTTATGTCTGACCAGATACATGAAGTGCAAAGGCACCCACCCAGTCGGAGACCAAATGACTCTAAGCTCCCAGCCAGCTCTGCCTTTGTGCCTCTGATGCAGGCAGCTCTCCTCTATCTCTCTCTGATGTACACAGAGTGAACAAAATCAATGCCCAGGCTTAGGAACAGCTTAGGCAAACTCAGTTGCTGAGCTCTCTTCCTCCAAAACAATGAGAAGTGACTTTTATTTTTAAACAAGGTCTTGCTATTTAGCCCTGAAACTATTCATTTAGAAATACTTCTCAGGGAAGATCAATCACAATTTGCTTGTTAGACTGTCCTATGGCAATATTAACCCTAAGTAAAACATTCATACTTTGATGAGAAACGTTCTAGCCCATACCTCAGGGCTTCACTGTTGCTCTTGATGGAGTGCTGGTATAAGCTTCTGAGAAGTGATGGAGACATGATGTTCACACGTCAAGTAAAAGGACGTGCTTCAAAGGCTGCCTAAGAATTTCCACATGCAGCTCAGCAGTTCTCAGGAGAAGCACATCTTCTCCCCTTCAGATCCTCATACCCTTGTGGGAATTTCCCTAATACTAGAGGGCTCTACATATCTTCTTTATTGTATTTTCTATGATGACTGATGGTCACGGGGTGCAGACTATAAGCCAACCATGACAAGCTGAATGAAGATGAGAGGCCAGAGTGCACCTGTCTACACTCCTGAGTGAGCGGCTCCTCTGTGTCTCCCGGGTCTTACCATCCTGATCCCAGGAAGCCTGCTAGTTTAAGACTTGAAGGAGGCTCTATGTATTTGTTTCCTGTTTGGGCAAGGAAGGCCACTGCCTCAGCTGCCTCTTGAAATACCCAGGGTCCTCACACATATCCTTGTGTTCCTCTCCACACACTTGCTGAACTGCATGTGCCTGGCACCCCTTTTCACAATCCTTTCTTCAGACACCACATCCCACTTTCTAACCTGTTTGCCCCATTGAACTCATCCATTCAGCCAGTTCCTAAAGATGTCAGTTGAAGTGCTAATGTCCTGCCTTGATTAGTTCCTCCGTTTTGTGGTTATTTGCTGTTGAATGTTAATTGGATGATTTCCCCTTAAAGACACCTTCTGCTCTTCAGAACTTTACACAGAGAAGGTTGTTTGGGTTTGTCTTCTATGGTAGAACAAGGCCAGTGGTTATACCACATCCTTGGTTACAACTGCAAGCAACAGGGACAAAGGTCTCTGTGTCAAACCCCTGATGCTGGGATTTTCCTAAAGCATTTTGTTTTTAAACTGAGACTTAACACAGAGCACTCCAGAATGCTTCCACAGAAACAGACTTCTTCTCGATGTTGATGCTATTTTAGAATCACTTAGATAAAGCACTTGAGTTTCAAGACTGCTGTCTCTGGTTATTTTTATAGGCTTTTAGATCATTTCAGAAGTCTCAATGAAAGGATGAAGAGAACTGTTTTAGAAAGGAGCCAGGTGGCCTTGCAAACAGAGCCTCAGGAATAGACAGCAGGCGTGGCGTCTGGAATGCCAAACTCCCACGCCACCTGGCCAGAGCTGAGGCAGAGCCACTCACATACTAGTGACCCTTAACAGAGGCCACAGAGAAGGAGCCAGTGGCTAGGAAAGAATAGCATTTCCTTTTATTTGCTGTACTTTTATTTGCTGTTATCATCTTTACCAGGCGCCTTCTTGGGTGCACTATGGCAACAATGCTTCAGGGGCTTTGCAGGGCTGTCAGTAACTCTCTCAGTTATTATTTTAATAAATGAAGCAAGGGTTTAAAGTTAACATGCCATACACACATCTGACTGTTCTTGCCTACAGAGACACCATACCTGAGGTCTTGCCAGATGAGAGCAGAACCCTGTTTCCACTACAGCCCCCAGGAATGTCCCCTGTCTAGCCCGTGTGCACCAGCCACAGCCCTTGCTTTCCTCTGTCCTGAGACAGCGCTTGCCGTTCAGCAGTCCTGACTTGGCTCACCTGTCCCCGTTCTCATCCTGCACCGCGGTGAGGTGGCGCTGCACGGCCAGCAACATCTTCACGTCTCCTGTCACTGCATAGTCGAAAAGGGCGTTGGCATGCTGCTTGGCAAGCTGCAGGGCCTTCTCAAGGAAGAGGTGATCTGCAAGGCAACGGCCACAGCACAGCTGAATCTCACCTGCTCGCCCTATGCATGTGGCATGAAACACTATGTTAGCTGAAAATGCTCCTTTTGGTGCTTCTGGACTGTGTTGACTAGAAAAAGCACAATTGGGCATTGTCTCACTGACAGAGAATGCGGTCAAGAGATTGATTCCAAAGTGTCTGTGGGCCTCCAGGAACAATTTGGAGGTATCTGTGATTTTAAGGAGAACAATCAGTGTCTATGATTTAAGGGGGATAATTAATCTCAGGGTAATTGGCTTTTGCCATGATTTTAAATAACCAATCATTTTATAAATGAATTCTCTTCAGGAATCAGTCTGAGTCAGATTGAAGAAACATGCCCTCTGGCCCCAGACATAATCTTAGAGAGCCCCCATGATTTTGGAAAATTTATTCTTCTTAAGGTCAAAAGATGGCAACCTGTGACCTCAACATGAAAGGGCACATCTAACCTGTTTTGATATGGCTCCATAGACATACAATGTATATCTTAAAATAGGTATTAAAAAAAAAAACAGAAAAAAGGAAAATATGTGATGGTAACTACCATGTCTGAGTAGCTCCTATCTCTTTCCAGATGATGTCTGACCTAGAATCATGACTCATATGCAACTAACTGAAGCCTGTTCAAAGGAAACACTTCCTTTTAATTCAGCTTCTTCAAGGACGGCACGAAAATACAAAGAAAAGTCCCATTTTCAGGCAAACTTCTTCAATATAGCAGCTGAGCTGGCTGCTGGGGTGAGTGAAGGATGTGGCAGCTTTTCTTTGTTATCTGGGCCAGGGACAAGGTGACTCGTGTCTTCTGATACCCAGAACTGCATATGAGCAGACAATGTACATGCAAGTTTCTGCACCTTATAATCAGAGATGACGCTGGAGAGATGAATGGATCAACGGGACAAGATGCCTCCCAGAAGGCCCAGGTCATCTTGTAGGGCACTCACATGAGCAGCTGACCCATCATCACCTCTGTCCTAACAGGAGGAGACTGTCTTCTGGGGACAGCTTCCTGTCCCTAGAACTGCACCCTCCCCAGCTGCCTGCGGAAACCCTCGTGGGCATGCTCACCTACCCTGAAACCCAGTACCCGGCTCCTTGTCTTCCACGGGGGATGCCAGTGTGAGTGTACCAGTCTTTGTGCTGGGCACGGCCACTCCAGACTCCTCATCTTGTTCTATTTCCTTCCCAGAGAGATTTAGAGTCTCCCTGTCATCACTCTTGTCACAATATTTAGGGTCACTTTTAGAATCTGTGTTTATGGTTCCTAGGGAAAATGTAAAAACATTACCTTTTTCTTAGTAAAGTCTATTATCAAACTATAATTCACTATTTCAACATAGGGCAGAAAAAAAGAAGGAAGGTTTGCTGAAAATGAAAAAATATAAATGTTTATAACAAATAATACATCCTGGACTTATTTATGTATTTATTTTTGGAGACAGGGTCTTACTTTGTAGCTCGAGTAGGCCTTGAGCTCACGGAGATCTGCTTGCTTCTGCCTCCCAGAGTGCTGGAACTACAGGCATGCACCACCATGTAACAGTGCTTTGGAAATATTTTAAATATCTGGAAACACTTAGAAGCTTGTCTTCCAGAAACGCACATCTCATTTTGTAGATAGATGTGCTGACTTCCACCTGTAACGTCCTCAGTTGCACGGGGGACAGAAGCAGTAAGAGCACCGCAAGGCCAGGTTACACAGCGAGATTCTCCCTCAAACCAAAGCAATAAATGAATATATAAATCAATCTCATTTTGTTTATCTGTGAAGAAAAGTGAGATAAAGTTCTGCGTGCTGAAAATTAGTTGAAAACTGTAAAAACTTTTCTTTCCTAAAGCTAAGTACCAAGGGAAGCTGTACAGAGCTCATTTCCATTCACAGTCTGGCCAGGGAGGTCTCTAGGGCTCCATGGCTGACCACGCTGTTGGAACCGTGTTATGTGACAGGCGTGACAAGGGTGCCTAAGACTCCTAGGCAGACCTAGTACAAAAACCAATTCTGCCAGCACCAGTGCTGTGTGTTCAGAAAACAAATAAAGTTTCTGAAGCTTGCCTCTGTCTGGACAGCGCTGTGACTAGTATTCTTGCACGAGGTCATGAAGTTACAGCTAATGGAAACAATGGTTCTCTCTTATGGGAAGAACAGTTACCTGATTATAGGATAAACGATAATGTCACCTGAGATCTTTATAGATTACAGTGATGTATGCAGCTCCATGAACAGGCATTATAGAAGAAAAGACTTTATAGGATAATTTCCATGGGTATAAAAAAATAAAGCTTCATATAAACTCTGAGCAGAACGTAACCACAGGTGCTCAGAGGATGCCTGTGAGTGGAAAAGGCCAACCCTACAAAGTGAAGACTGACTTCAGAAGGATGGCATTTGAAGTGAGAAGACAGAAACGGTGATATTTTTATGTTTGGGTAGTCAAATTTCTATCTTTTTGCTTTGTGCCTCTATCCAACTTCCACTCATGCAATCTAATGAGTAAACACAAGTGCCAAGAATATTCTTTATGCTGCCCTAGAATAATGCAAAAATACTAACTTAACTGCAAATCTATTTTCTAAAACTTTTAAGGATGATCCTGTTGCCTGTGCATTTTTCTGCCTTGGTGTTCAGGCCTGACTTACCATGGGTGATCCCAGCATTGGATTTAGTGGCTCCAGGATGGAATGTGATCCCACTGTAGGCAGGAAATCCATAGTGCGGGAAGCTATATCCTGAACCAGTGATGAGACAAAAGTAACATCAGGGAGATTTTTAACAGAGTGGTGCCCACTCGGGGGAGCAGGTCTTAGTGAGGGTGGCGCTGGCTACATGGGCTTCGCTTGGGAGTTATCAGGATACGCTGTGGAAAATACACAGCTGAATTCCACTGTGGCAACACAGGCAGTGCCAGGACTGGCAGCTTGGAGGAGTTAATGCTGAGAGGTTCTTTCCTCCCAGGGAAGGGCCAAGAAAGCTGGTGGTAAAGTAGTCACACCAAGACTGAGACCTACATTAAAATAGTTAATTAAGATGACCCCTGGTGAGAAAAACCAATGTACAATAATATACTGATGCCTTAGTGGAAAAATGGCCACCATGTTCATTTGAATTATTTTTGGTTGAAAAATGAACTGATAAAGTTCTTCAGTGGAGCAGCCGGTAGGTCACACCACACCCTCTGACATTCAGTTTAAAGCACTTACAAGTTGTCTGGAATAAAGGAGAGCCATGTTCAGGATAACATCTTACACAGAAAACGGGAAGCATCATTCAAGTCAGTTATGCTATAGGTTTGACTCATTAAACATGACAATTATGCTTCTATAAGAACTGTATTGTGACGAGGAAATGCTTAAGTTAACAGGAAGCAAAAGCAGCAGCCATCACTCTACATCCACAATCATGGTGCAGTGGTAATAAAAACCCATCGTGCTTCCCTGGTGGGCTTCAGGGAAGAATTTTCTATGACTCAGATTTTTTTTAATAGTGCAGTGTCTATAGTCTGTGGCATGGCATATAACACATATCTACCATGTGACAGGTATGATACTTGTTTTAACGTCTTCCCAGAATAATATAACAACTGCTCCTCCAAAAAAGGTAAGGGGGCAATACTCAAACATTATTTAAGAAAAGTATCTTCTGAATAAATGCTTTCAGCTGGCTTTTTCTTCTTTCAGTTTTGGGGATTATCCACAAAGGGTACTATTTCTAAAACTGCAGGACCCAGGGTAAGGCTCACAATGTAAAAAGACAGATGAGCAGCAGGAAGTCACTCTAACAGGGCAGTTGTAACAATAGACTGTAGAAAGAGCTCTGTGCATGTGGTCCCTCTCATCAAGACAATGCTAGTATTTTTAGACTGAAGCTGACCGCGGGTAACTGAAACCACAAAAAGTGAAACTGGATGGGGGAGGAGCGACCGTACTGCAAGATGAACACAAGTTTCTTTGAAAACATTCTACATTTTGTAGGAAATTTTCCATTAATTTGAAATCTCAAAATTAGTAACATCACTGCTTTTCAAGAGGCAGACATGCTTGGAAAACGGGGAGAGAAAACTGCCCCCTCAGCAACACGAGAAGGCTTTAGACAGAGGAGACTTCTCTGTACCTGGGCCAGGACTTCCGGTACTCCCTCCACCACCGCCACTACCGAACATGCCTCCACCACCGGCTCCGGCTCCACTGCCGCCGCCGAAACTGTCCGAGAAGTTGGGCATGAGCTTCTGGCGTTTCCTCTGTACTTCCTCTTTGTCTGTATTTACAGGAAGGGAAACCAGAGGGGAGAGACTGATTGGGCTCCACCACCAGCCACAGAAAGACTATTGAGTCTCATGATATTTTTAAATGCCTTAAAGGGAAACAGAAGCCACCCAAGGAGGAAGCATGATATTTATCCCAATGGGCATGAAGACCAGGAGTGCGCCGCAGAGACCGCAGTGGGCCACACACCCAAATCCACTGGGTAACATCTCCTAAGTTCCCAGGGTTAACAAGCTGGGGAGAGCCCTGATTGCTCCTCAAGATTTAGGCAACCCATAGACACACAATTTTTTTAAAGCATTTTTATTTATTTATTTTGAGAAAGGGTCTCTCCATATAGGCCTACCTGCTGGAACTCACTGTGTAGATCAATCTGGCTTTGATCACACACAGATTCAACTGCCTCACATGCCCAGCTAATATTCTGAACATTTGTCCTTGCTCCCAAGACAACCATAATGAACCAGCTAACATTTATGTACATATACTGAGCTAGGTGCTGGGATGAAGAGAAGCATGGCATCTTCTCGAGAAAGGACCCAGTTTCAAGGCAGAGAGAGACTTAGTGGGACGGACTATGATGGCATGTATGCATGTGGAAACTTAGAGGTGCAGATTCATGGTGTGACAGGCTTTTGTAAAGCCGAAAGAGTTCATGGTTGAAGAACAGGGGGTATTCTGGGAGGACACAGAGAAATTTCTCAAAGGAATAATGTGGGTGTGGCGCTTTTGATAATAAAGGCAAACATTCTGGCTGGAGTGAAAAGTTAGTATAAGAAATGCTTGAGAAGTAAGGAAGACTGGGATCACATACAATGGGGAGCCTCAGGAATATGAACCTAAGGGACTGGCTCAGAGGAAAGTTCCTGAGCATCTTGGAGAATGATATGTAGAGGATGGTGTTTTAGGGAGCTACACCAGTCATTGTTTAGAGGATATTTAGTGTCAACTCTAAGGAAGACAGTGAAGACATGAGGTAATGGAGGCCCATTCCTTACCAGTTACTGTGACAAGACAAACAAGGGCAGATCCTGGAGACACAGAGGAGGCCTACAGGTTCTGCTACTGATGGCTTGGTCACTAGAGTCTCTGACTCAAAATCAGAGATTGCCTCTGGGACACTGGCCTGTCCTGATCTGTTCCTCATAGGGTTCTGTATTCCTTTTGTTTCTCCCTGTCTGTGCTTCTCACTAGCCCAGATGCCCTCCTTAATTCTGTTACTGCATGTGATCACCTGCTGCGATGCCCTCGGCTCCCTCATGGCCGTGGCGTTCCTGTTTCTTTGTTCTGGTTCCCTCTGTGGCCTGTGTGTATCCTAGCAGATATTTTGTTTTGTTTCCTTTGTCTTTTGGGTTGAGAAGTAAAGGTGGCTTTTGTTTACATTAAGCAGTTGATGTGGTGTTCTCTCTGCAGTGAACGGGCCAGTACTGAACGACTGCCCTGTGTCTGGCTTTTCAAAGCCAGTTTTCATCATTGTTTACATTCAGAAAGATACCCACTTTTCTAGCGCTGTGCTGAGACACAAGGCTGCTGTTTATCTTAGATCACTGCCTGCATCTGAAGGGAAGGGAAGATGAGCATGGTGCCAGTCCCTTTAAAACCAAACCTGGGTACACCAGGATGATCAGGAAGAAAACTAGTTTCCGCCAGAAAGGAGTGAACTTGGGGTGAAGAGACTCTGGCTACTTCCTAACTAAAGACTTGTGGAAATATTTATAAAATTTCTCTATCAGTTATACCCAAACTAATAGCTATATTCAATAGTCAGCCTATGAACTGTTGATCTCGCACAGCATATTATTCCATTGTAGAAACATGAAACATAGTAGGTGTCGTTAGAAAAGATGCCCCGTCCCATATGTATGAAGGGGTATGGGCTGCCCAGCATGCATGTGGAGGTCAGAGGACAAGCTTGGTGTTGGCCCTCGACTTCTGCCTCATTTGAGAGTAGCCTTTTGCTGTCGTGTCCCAGGCTAGCTGGCTCCTGAGCTGCTGAGGAATCTCTTGCCTCCATTCCCCATCTTCCTGTAGGAACACAGGGGTTACAGTTACTCATGCTACATGTATGGCTTCTATGCGGGTTCTTGGATCTGAACTCAGGTCCTGATGTGTGTGTGTGGCAAGTGCTTTATACATTGAGCTTTCTTCCTAATGCAAATGTTATTTGCTGAAGTGGTTTCTAGCAAAGAGGCCTCCCTCATGTTTTCTGTGTATTCCCTTTACTTTTTAAAGTAGAAATGATTACTAGTTATTGTAAAATTAAAAAAAATTAAAGTTTGTTTTTATTTATTTGTGTGCATGTATGCCACATGTAAGCAGTGCCTGTGTAAGCCAGAAAATGGTGCTAACTCCCAGAGCTAGAGTTACATCAGCTGTCAACTGGCATATGTAGGTGTTGGGAATAGAATTCAGGTCCTCTGAAAAAGCCATAAGTAACTTCTGAACTATTTCTCTAGTCTCCAAATCCAAACTTTTAAGAGATACTTTTCAAGATATTAGGTATACCACTGCCAGGATTATTTCAATGGCAAGAAACTAATTCAGAAAATTTCACAGAATAACCTTTGTAGAGGAACTTGCAAGTCTCAGTTCCAGAGACTGAAGGCAAAGATTTTCCCAACTTGGTTCATTCAGCCTCATCATCTGCTTTCCGAAGTTGTCCCACAGGGCTTACTATGAGTGTGCACACTAGAAGGAAGCCCTGGTCACTTCTGCAGAATCTCCTTTCATAGAAGAGGAAGCTGAAGCTGGGATGGTTAAGTGACCTTCTCAGCTCAGGGATGAGTAAAGGTCAGATCCAGAGTCTAGTGACGTTTCATCACAGCAACTATTACTTTTCGGGAAATACTTCAAAAATAGTGTTACATATTATCACTGCATTAATGCTGACCACAGATAATGGTTATTAAAATAGGAACTTTGCAGCCTACAGAAAAGTGCAGCCTCTGCCAACCTTTCCTGTGAGTGTGCCTTGAAAGCACCTCATTCTTGACGTGTTGGTTCTGTGGAAAATGCCCACACTTAGCTTGGTCATGTCTTCTATAACACAACTGTTCTTCTCCATCTTGAGCTCCAGCTTTTCTGACTGATGACTCACCATGGTCTTTCTTTGTGTTAGTGCATAGCCATCCCTCACTTGATTATTTTAACTGTCGCTCCTCACCTCCCTGTCTCCAAGAAGTGTTTGTAAGATGTGGTCAAGGAATGACTCCAGAGGGTGTGGAGTTCAGGGCAGGGGAATTCTGGTAATGAGAGGGGAATGCTTTGTATATGTCCAACCCTTACTTGATGGGACCTAATGCATCTTCAGCCTTTTTGGTTATGTTGGCATCTACACGGTAACATAGAACTCTGAAACCCCAGTTCCAGGGATTTGATGCCCCTTTCTAGCCTCCTCAGGCCCCAGGCACACACGTGGGTACACAGACACATACACAGGTAAAACACTAGCACCAACAAATTAGAACCCCCCCCAAAAAAAAAAAACCAAAAGATTTCTTAAAAAATCCAGAAAGTTAAAAACTAAAAAGATTTATTATCCATAATTAAGAGATCTAATATAACTTGATTGCAGTATACACATGACAGCCACTCTTTCCTTGGCCACTTCTACTTCTCTAGATAATTCTTATATTGTTTTTATTCTATGGAGATTTATTTGCATTTATATTCATGGTGACCTAGAAAGTGTGTGTTTGAGGTTTATCTATGACGAAATGAAAACTTCAGTGGAGCCATCCTCTAATTCAAGTGTTAGAAAGCTGTTACTCTGCTAGGGTGGAGTGCTGAGGAAGCTGGGCCTTTTCTGTTGTACTTTGCTACTGGAGGAGAGGCCGCCTGGGAACCAAACTCTAAGTGGGTCTAGGCTCACATTCTACAATAGACAGCCTGCATTTTCTTTTCTCTTTCTCATGATTCTGCATCAGCAAAGACAAAACTAACTATTTTGAAGGCATATTTCAGGAGATGAACTCTATTTTTTTTTTCTCAGAAAAAAATTAATTTTTCCTCCTATTTTCAGAGGGCAGGGGCTCCAGGTAAGGCAGTGGTTTCACAGTGCCTTGTGTGGACAGAAGGATCTAGAAGACCTCAGGCTGGTGAGGAAGGAAGCAGGCCAGCCACAGAACTCAGCTCACCAGCAGCAGGGGGGGGGGGGTCAGACCTCGGAGAGAAACACGAACTCTCAAAACTGCTTTCTAAATGGTCCTGCCACAACAGGTCCATGGTCATCATCATAGTCTGCCCGTAAGAGACCAACACTTCGGGGCCTCGGTGTGACTGTACTTTGTGGTTCCCGACCTTAGCTAGGACCCTGAGGCTGGTGGCAGTCATGCTGAGGACCTGCTCTCCAGCCTCACCCTCTGACGCAGACATTTCTGATTTTATCGGAGCCTAGTGCTTTGTATAGCCTCCAAGTTTATGGATCTCTTCTCGGCACCATGGCCTTCAAGATGAAACTCAGAAAACAGAGAGGCTGACTGGAGCACTGTGCATCCAGACACTGACTCTTTTCAGGGCTGACTTTCCACCCACTTGAGTCATGCCTTTGACTGGCCTCCTCCCTGCACTTGACCTCAACTGAAACATGTTTACACTGAGCTTCTCTTTCACCCTCAGACCTTTTCCCCTTGATCCTCTTATCCACTTAGTCATGCCATAAATTTCCAGTCTGGAAACCCTAGAACAATCTGAGCCTCTCCTTTCCCTTCACCCAAGGCCCAGGTCTCCCCACAGCTCCATCATAGCAGTGTTTGCTGGATGCTCACTCTTGGGCACTGGAGCTTGTTCTAACGCCACTGAAGCTGTGCTGGATCCTTGCATCATTTTGACTGTGTCAACCCAGACAGTATGCAAGCAGGCCTGGACATCACTCCAGGTGTGTCACTCTAGTCAATTCAAAAATCCTTCAGCTACCACACAAACACTCTGCTGCCTGGGCCTGGTCTCCCTCACCTGCCTCAGCTGTCCTCTGTCCACACAGCACTCACAGTGATTATTTCACCCAGGACAAATGGCAGCTGTCACACCTCTGCCTCAAGCATCTCTCTATTTTATAAACAGAGAGAGCCTTAATTATATTCATCTCCAATAACATCCCAAATGGCTTCTCACTGAGGAGGACTTTTTCAGTGGCCTTTTTAGTCCAAAGGGTCCAGGGCTGTCTCCTCAAGAGTTTCATACAGTCCGTGGATGCTTCCCCTTGGGTATTTATTACAATTTGGGTGCTGGGGTTACTGCTCAGTGGTAGGACATATACCCAGCATCTTCAAGGCCCAGAGAATATATGATGTCTAGCATGTCAAAAAAAAAAATCATAATTTGCATTTTAACTGTAGTCTACCCTTACTGATGTGTCCTTTGTGAGGAAAAGTATAGTGACTATCTCATTTTATAGTTCTGTGCTATATGGTAGCTGAATTTTTAATATTTGAGGGCCGCTGAGTATCTAAAAAACCACATCAGTTTTGTCCTTTTCTTGTCCTTCTTCCTCTCTCTTTCCATCTCTTTCACTATCTGTATATCCTACAGCCTGTGGAAGTCTAAGGGCATCTTGTGGCTGCTAGGCCTCTCCTTTTATCATACTCAGGCCATCAGGCATGGCAGCAAGTGCTTGAGCCATCTTGCTGGCTCAATACTAGATTTCAATATCCAAAGATAAGCTGTCAAATGGCTAACTCTCACACGATTTTGGCAGCAATAACAGTATCATAAATGACTATGGCTAATTCCATGACCTCAATATATTATCTTCCTCGACTCTAAAAGTAAGCACCACACACCCAGGTAGCCTGTGAGGCCATGTAAAGGAGGTGACCTGCTGATCTTTCAGAGCAAGCTCAAGAGTCTAAACAGCCCACTTACCTTTGATTTCAGGGTAATAGAGGAAGGGTTTTGGTTCACTAGTTTCCAAGTCAGATTTCCTCCGAAGCTGCACAAATACGGAAGCTGGTTTTGTAATGTTGACATCCTTATACTTTGGAGTTTTGAAGACAATGGCAAACTGCAGAGTACAAAGGACCCAAGCATGAGTGTGGGGTGTTTGTTTTCTAGTGGCGGTGAGTATCAGGCACATTCTAAATGCAGATATTCATACTCTAAGCTTAAATAAAGTGTGCTAAACCCAGCACCTGGAGAAGTTCTGGTCAGTATGTTATACCATACTTACTTTACTGCCTACTTCTCTTTCAAATTTGCCTTGAAAGCCTCCAGGATCATTCATAGCAGCACAAGAAGGACTAGGTAAGAAAGCAGATGGAACCAGGGGTCCCACTGTCAGCCTGCAGCCAGCGTTGCCAACAGGAAAGTAACGATGTGCAGGAGGGAGGCATCTTATGCTAATTTGGAGTGGTGCAGGAATAGTTAGATTCATTTTTCTAGGTTTACATTCATAAGGATCAAGATTTCATAAAACACAGGAGGAACACACAGTGGCATATTGTTGTTTTTTTAAGGAAAATCCCAATGTTTGATTTTGCCAATAAAGACTCAAGAGTCAGACGCTGGGATGAATGAAGGCCTGCTAGCTCAGAGAGGCAGAGAAAGTACCTGACCTTCCTACTCGGCTGATGTCCCAGAAGGAAAATGCCCTTTCTCCTTCTCTATGATGTCTTAAGTATCTTCTACTTAATGTCCCGCCTTACTACTTCCTGTGCATCCTCTCTATCTGTCCTTCGGACTTCCTCTCACTCTCTATGGTTTTCCCCATGTTCATGTCCCATCAGCTGGTTGCTTGCTCAGCCTCTTAACCTAGGGTTAATATTATTTAATCATTGAACTCTTGGAATAAGTTGTGTGCTAGGGCTGAGCCACACCACAACTAGAAACAGGTTTTTCCAGTACATAATCTTGGGGTTCACACTGTGATCAAATATCCTGCAACAGCATACCCTGATAACTGTCCTTTGTCTCTGATCTTCCATTCATGTTCTTCTTCAGTGTGGATTCCTAGAAGGATCTGCTATGATTTTTTCAGGTATATTATTTTTCCAATGCATATGAACACAGAATTGTTTCTGCACACACTATATTCTGTATTGATCTTTACAAGCCTTGGCAATCTATCTTGAGTCTGTTCATCCACAAAGCCCCTTTTCTAGTAACTGTATGATATTCCATCACATAGATACAGCCATTAGTAATTAGGCATATTACTGGTTGGTATCTGGCTTGTTGGAAAGTTTTTGGAAGCACTATTTTTTCAGTCTCCGTCAAAAAGTGACTGCTACTGTGGTGGCTCCATATCTTCCTATAATCATACAATCCCCTTGTCATACAAGCAGCCAGGAGACTGGCTCATCAGGACAGCATGAGCCTCAGCCTTCACACTTCTCAGTGCAGTTCCTTTTTAACAGGCTTTGCCATGCGTTCAATACTTAAACAATTTCATGGGAGGACCTGAGGACACTACCTCCAAGACCTAATGACAGATACCGAACGAGGCACCATGCCACGCTCTCAGAGCCAGGGCTCTAATGGCACCTTGCACACAGCTTCATGTTAGAGCCATGAAAATAGCACTGCTGTATGGATGTTAAAGGGACTCATGACGGTTTCTCTTATAATGTGTGGAAACTGTGCACTGATTTTCACCAAGCCAGACACTACTAAAATAAAATAGGCAATAATAACCCACGTACCTGTCTGTGAACATCTGTGGGGGAAAAGTCCCCAAATCCTTCCCAAACTCCACCATTTTCTTCCTCTTCATAAAACCGGATCTGGATGTCATCTGCAAACAGTCACAGTCAGGCACGTGATTGCAGTGAGCGTAATGATGCTGATGAGCATGCCAGCAAATGCAGCTAGTGCGTAACTCCACCTCACAGAAACGTAAATGTGTTAAAAAAGAATTCATAGTAGGAGATTTGCACCATTTCAAGTTTTCACAGATCACTGACTCCTTACATGTTATTTACACTAGGAATGAGATCTACTATTCATTCATAGTGGCGAGGTATTAGATTTACCCAATCAATTCAGCTCTGTCTTAGTCAACATACGAACTACCTGCTTCTCCACCCTTCAACCATTCACTTCTGGGAAATGGGAAGGATGACAGAGGAAGATCCAAACCCATTGGTGTGGCACAGCTCAATATGGAGAGGCACCCTAACCCGTCACACAAGCAGCACTTGTTCTAGCCTGTCTAGGCCTCAGACCAGTCCGGCGATGCAGGCGTACTGATGCCACCCTCACTTTGCAGCAGTGAATCTGGGGTCTGCTGGTGTGTGCACACGAATGGGAGAAAACACGTATGCTAAGTGCGTGTAGAGAGTTCAGAGGGTAACCTACACAACTTTATTTGAAATAAAGATTGGGAAAGTAGCTACTCCTTCAGCTTTACTAACTTCCCAATCATGCGGTATGTAGTGACAGTAAAAGTTAAGAGCTTCTCAAAGTGTGGGAAATGTGCTGAGGACCCTGTTTTTGCCATCCTTCTTCTTTCCTACTGGGTGTCATAGGGACGTTACAGCACAGCACAGCACAAAGATCTAAGGAGAATCTTTATATAATTTTACGTTATATAAAACTCAGATCAGAGCAGTTACTTTAACTGAGCATAGGGAACAAATGTATTAAGTATCAGCATGTTGAATGGTGAATCATCACTATCCCTTTACTTCTGTGGAAAATTGTACCATATACTCAGGCTTTAAGAAATAACACATTTTGCACTAGGGAATGTTTTTGAGAGGTTTCACAGCCAAACAAGAACACTCTTTGTACACTTTGAGTGAGTCACAGATGACCCTGACAGCTATACCCCACATCTAGAGATGGGGTGCACACGTACCTTTCTGAACCTTGTCACAGAGAAGATAAATTTCCTCCCCTCCGGTCACACATCCTGCTGTTCTGTCCATTCTCACAATTTTCAGGTTCGATGCATTGGGCGCTTCTGTTCAAAAGGAGAAAGCAATGCACATTCTAGTTTAGGGTCGGCTTCACACAGTGCCGATGGATGAGCTCATGCCTGTTTTCACAAAAGACCCAAGAAAGGCTTTCAAGGTCCTTGGAGCCACTCATTATCCCCCAAACAGGCGAGGCAGAGAGTAGCAGGTGAGGAGGGGGTGGCAGCACTTGCTTCTCTGGAAGATGCCTTTGGCTTCCCCTCTAACACACAGGTTGATATGGAAGGAGAACGCTTTCTGATGTTTCCAGAATTGCCAGATCAGTGGCTTGTTTCATGCCAACTTTATGCCATTTACAAAATTCTTTAAAAAATTTAAGAGAACTACTTTTTTTTAAGCTACTTTTTTTTTTTTTTAATTCTACAAAGAAAAATGAAGATGTCCTATTTCCTCTCCCCAGACTAAATTAGCATTCTGTGTGGTTAGGGGAGAGCTGCCTGGACTGGTGGGGTGGACAAAGCTTCCCCTTTAAAAACTCCAACAGCTGCAGTTCCAGGTTGTCTGTGGAATAAGAGCCTTTCTCATTCAGTAAACTTCTCACTTCCCTTCACACTTGTTGAAATCAGATCAACTAGCACATAGATGTGGAACACGGGGTTTCCCGGTACGTCATATTCTATAAGCAAGCAACGGGACTATTGCACTTGCAGGGTGTCTGAATCAACCGTTCGTTAAGCCATAACACACCAAACAATAGCTTTACACAGTAAATGCTACAGGCTGCTGAAAACCCTCCGCATTCAAGTATCTACAGACTGAAAGAGAATTCTGACATAGCATTTATCCAATTAGTTACCTTGAAGTTTCTGTCTTAATGAATATACATTATATACTAAGTAGGGATAAAGACAGATAAGAATAATACTTGTCTTTTATTTCTCTTTAGTGCTGCCAAGGGCAAAAATTAGTGTCATTTAAAAGAGCACCAGCAATCTATCCTCCAGTCATATGTTCATAAGTAAGAAATTGGTGTTCCATGTAAAGAATGAATGCATTTTCTGAGGAAAGAAGTGTTCCCTTGGTTGATATGGCTTATGATGCTAAACTGGACATCAACCCTTTACCCTAGGCTGCAGTTTTCCCACTTTGTAGACAATAAACCAGAAACTAAAGGTGATTAAGTCACTGTGTGCAGGCCTTAGTACTGGGTAGCAAGTGGCCAGGCAGGGCTAGTGTCTGTTCTTGATGCTGGACGAAGCTGCCCGCCTCAGGACTGAGTACTCACTGCTGTCATAGATGGCATCTGATACCACAGGCTCCAGTCTCCGAGTGAAGCTGCCAGTGCTGTCAGGCAGAAAGGCTGTGAACATGAGGCGCACCACGCTCAGGTCCATCTCCTTTGTCTGCTGCAGAGCCGCCTGGCGGATGATCTCCTTCTCTCTGTCTAGGATCACACAGAACAGTTCAGTCATGCCCGGGCAGGTGAGAGTGTGAACATTTAACACAGCATAGTTTCAGGAAGCCTGAGCAAAGAATGTGGCCTCAAAGACCATTTTCATCCTAGTAGAAACCTGTCACTCGGTACATTGAATATAAGCCAATAAAAAGCTTTAAGGAAGTATTTCTAAAGGCAAAAAAATGAAACATCACTTAGAGGGCAGCGTATGCAACTGGAGGGGATTGTGTCAAGTGAACCATGCCAGACTAAAAAGGACAGACAACACACACTGTCTCATTTCGAGATCCTAGACTTATATAGATATGTAAGAGTATTTGCATATGAGTGTGCAGGACAAGAATGTACTCAGTCCCAAAGCCTCCTTTCTCCCCTCCCCCACACCCATTAGTCCCCTCTCTACCAATAGAATACCTTCCTCTTACTTTCATTTTTTTTATGGTGAAATAAAACTCCATTATGCATGTACATGATTTTTTCTTTATCCATCATCTGCTGGAGAGCTACGGTGACTCTTGAATATGGCTGCAGTAAACATATATGTGCAGGTAAACATGTACCTGTAGTATGCCAACTTAGAGTTTTGCAAATCTATGCAGGAGTGTATAGCTGTGCCATATGGTAGTTCTTTTACTTTATTTTAACTTTCACTTTACTTTTTACTTTTTGTGGAATCCCCACTTTGACTTTCTTATTTATTTATTTGAATTTGTTTGCCACAACACACGTCTGTAGGTGAGAGGTCAACAGAAGGGAGATGGTTCTCTCCTTCCACCATGTGGGTCCTGGGGACCGAATTTAGGCCAGCAGGCACTGTGTGAATTACTTGCTGAAACATCTGCTATACATAGCTGAGGATGACCTTGAACTCTAAGTGCTGGGAGTACAGGGGTATGCTACCCTGTGTTTTCAGGTAGTGAAGGGAATCAAGCCCAGGCCTTCCCACACAGTAGCTGAGCACTATACCCAGAACTCTATGCCAAGTTTCTGCTACTTGTTTGCTTAATGACTGCCATTCTGACTGGGGTGGGATAGAATCTTAAAGCAATTTTGATGAGTAAGGATGTAAGATACTTTTTCACATTTATTGGCTATTTGTACTTCATCATTTGAGAACCCTCCCTTGTTCCTTGGCCCATTGGCTGGCTTGTTTGGTTTCCTGGAATTTAATTCTTTGAGGTTTTCTTTTTTTACTATAACCTAGATAGTAATCTGTCATCTACATAGCTAGCAAAGGCTGTCTCTTCACTCAGTTGTTCCCTTTGCTGCACAGAATTTCATTTCCTAGTTCTTGATTTTGTTTCCTGAGTTGCTGCAGCCCTTTTCAGAAAGTCCTTGCCCACATCATGAAGTGTTTTCTGTATGTGTTCCGTTAACAGTTGCAGACCATTACCTCTTACATTAGGATCTCTGATCCATGCTGGATTGATCTTGTGCAGGATGAGAGGGATCTGGTTTCCTTCTTTATATGTGGCTATCCAGTTTCCCCGGCACCACTTGTTGAACAGCCTGTCTTCTCCCTAATGCATATTTTGGCCTCTTTCTCAAGTATCCGGTGGCTATAGCTGTGTTTATTTCTAAATCTTCCAGTCCACTGATTTATACGCCTGTTTTGATGCCAGTTCCATGCTGTTTTTGTTATCATGGCTCTGGAGTGTAACCTGAAATCAGCAATTGTGATACCGCTAATGATATTCTTTTTATTTTCCTATAGCTTTAGCTATCTGAGGCCTTTTGTACTTACATAAAACTTTAGGATAGTTGTTCTCTGTTTCCATGAAGAAGGCCACTGGAGTTCGATGTGGCTTTCATTCAGTCTGTAGACCACACTTAATAATATTTTTGTGATACTAACTCTGTTGACTCGTGAGCACGGGAGATAATTCCACCATCTATTCTCACCTCTTTCTTTCTTCAGTGTCTTAAAATTTTCATTTGCAAAGGTCTTTTCACCTGGTTAGTTTATTATCAAAAATTTTGTTTACTTATTTTGAAGCTATTGAGGATGGATGTGACTCTTCTTGGTTGTTTCTTTCTCAGCATGTTCACTGCTGATACAGGCAAACTAAGGGGTTTTGGATGTTGATTTTGGATGTTCTGTACCCTGATATTTTGTCAGATCTAAGCCTTTCCAGTAGAGTTTTGGAGGTCTTGTGTATAGAACTGTATTGTCTGCAAACAGACATTCTGTAGCAGAGCCAGCCTTAGGCAAGGCTGGGGAAGGCTGCTCACCTGTGAGTTGACGGTCTCCTCCACCTTCTGCTTGTAGATAGGCAAGGTCGGAATGCACCAGAAGTCCAGGGTTATAGCCCCTTATACACGCCTCTGTCATCCGTGCTTCCAGTGTTTCAAATACCTTTTTCTTAGTCACATGAAGTATTCCCAGGTTTGCAAAGCTGGAGAAAAGCAGTAAGAGTAGCAGCAAAAAGAATCAAAAGTTAGGCGGCCATGACCAGAGAATGGGCTTCAGCCCAGTAAACAGCCCTTTGAGAAAATACACAAGCACTCAGCATTTTACACAAACCTCAGTGAGAGGAATGTCAGAATTCGGGATTTGGGGTTAGGAGGGTAATAAAGGGCATATGCTGCACACCTCACATCGCTGTTGGCAGGGTGGGGTGCACAGTGTTCTCAGCTGCAGAGAGGCCTTGGAGCCAGACTCACCACATGTGGGTCACACCAGCTTAAACCGGCTTACTAAAGGAGTCAGTGGTAAACTCGAAGCCCCTTCACTCTCAGAGCACAAGTCAGTGTTTGGGGTCCACTTGCATATATGCCTTACTAAGGAAAGAGCATGTGGCCTCATTCTGGTCTCACAGAATGTGCTTGCTACCGTGATGACATGCAAGAACATTTCACAGTATATTTTTGAACTGCATGTAACTAAGGAGAAGAAGACAGGAATGGAATAGGTGAGATAGGAGGAGAGGCTGAACAGGAAGAACACAGACAGGGCTCTGGAAAGATCACAGCTGAGCCAATCCTGAGGGAGGCAAGAGGAGGAAGTGGATTTTGGATGATATCACAGCTGCAGAAAGGATGAGTGTGAAGACCCCAACACAGAACCTCTCTGGTGTGGCAGAGAGGCAGCATGAGGGCCGAGGGAAAGGAGTGGAGTCAGAGGTAACTGGTGGATTTAAAGGGAAGAGTACAGGCCCAGGTCTCTCAAAGCCATATATGTTTGTAAGGACTTTTACGCTGAAATGAAAGTAAGTATTAGTACATGGAAGAAAAAGATATGGGCCAGTGATATGGCTAATTTAGTAAGAACACTTGCTGCCAAACATGGTGATATGGAAGGAAGCAGCTCCTACAGGTTGTTCTCTGACCTCTGACACACAGACACACAGACAGACAGATAGCACCCCTCAACAACAGACAGAAAGATAGAGACAGACAGACAGACAGAAACACACACACACATTCACACTAAATGTAATACAAAATTATAATAAAAATAATATGACAACTTGCCTGAATAGACAAGAACAAGCTACTCTGCAAAGGTCATTTAAGCTAGAGAAAGAAAAGAGAAGAGGTGAAGGCAGAAGGAAACAAACACGTAACAAAGGCCAGATGCGGTGTGAGTTACACAGGTTACATACTTATACAAAGAAATAAGTATGCCATATTTCCACAGCTCCTCCAGGACAGAGATCTCCAGCTCTAAAACATAGGCTGACGTGGTTCTCAGTGAACGCCTGCTGCGTACAGGGAAGCTTGCCAGGAGCAGCACAGGCAGTAGTGTATCCAACCTACTAACATGCGCAGAGGCCCAGGCAGGCCTTCATGAGCTAGTGTCTGCCCTTTTCTGCTCACTCCTGTGCAGACCAGCCTCCACTAGGAGAACAGGGTCATCTCCTGGGAACATCAGTGACCAACACCTCAGCTGCATGTCACATTCGCACCACAGTGCATTCCTACAGGTAACCTAAGTTCACATCTGGAGAAAGGTATCATACTTATTTGTTGTGTGAATCATGAAGCTTTGAAGGGTTTGCCCGAGTACACAATACACATGTCAGTGTTCTGCCATAGGCCAGAGTGAAGTAACATAGACCTAGACTGACCCTCCAGAATTAAATAAACCAAAACACACGAGAAAATGGCTGTCAAGCTCTGGGGAACAGGTGACACAGAACAGTGATTCCTAAGCAAAGAGAAATAAACATACTCTTATAATTACCTGGCGTAATGTCCAGGTTGCAGGATGGGAAGGGGAACCCAAACAGAGAGCCAGTGTCCTGCAGTTGCAGAGACAGGTAAAGGCTTGAGGTAAGGAAACTAGGATTTATAGCCAGAGCACCAGGGATTCTCAAAAGGCCACAGGACTCTCTAGCTGGTCATTGATGTTTGTGAGAAACCCATTAAGGTTGATGAAAAAAGCTACTGTTCTCACAGACATACAGGGATGGACCTAAGAAGCCTCAAAATACATGAAGCATCATTTTGAATATTCACAGGGTATTTCCTTAGTAATGGTGACAACTCAACCCAAGTCTGAGAAAGGGAGAACTCGATGGGGAGAGAAAGAGGGAGGTGTGACAGACAGAAAAGTAGTAGACAGAAAATTTAATAGTTGAAAGTTCTAAGGTTTAATAAAAATGTAAATCCAGAGATCTAAGACTACTAAGAAGCTTAAGCTTAAGAAGATAACTATATTCAATCCCATCATAACTGCTCATAACTAATGATGAAGAGAAGTCGGAAACACTGCTAGAGAAATAAATCACAAATTGTATACAGCAGAACTGAGGCAAGACGTACAGAGAGTTCTTGCTGGAAACAAGTGAAGTCCTAAGACAGTGAATCAACATAAAACCAGGCCATGAAAAAACTCACTGTCAGCTTAGAATCCTCTGCTCTTCTAAAAACACCTTTGAACAGAAAAGATGAAGGGAAGACTTTTCAGACACAAAAACGAGAACTCATCAGCATCAGATCAGCAATACAAGGAAAGTTAAAGGAAGTGATGCAGGCTGATGATGACGATACCAGATAGAAATCTTGACCTATAAAACAGGACAAAGAGCAACACAATTTCTAATATGTGTAAATGTAAGATTCATGTCTCCTAATTTATATAATTTACTTAAAAGTTACTTATATCTAGGGAAATAAAACAAACATATTGTATAATTTATAATGTATGTAGCTGTAAGATCCATGGCCTGACAGCATAGGCCTGGAACAGGAAAGAGAAAGTGTGCTACCCTTGGGTTCACATACATACAAACACGTAAGATCTTACAGTGACACCATGCTAACTGTATTGCTATCAGCCAAGGTGGATTTTTAGAGAAAAATGACATTACCAAGGATGAAAGAGGACTATTCTGTAGTGATAAAAATATCAACTCATCAAGAGAGCTTGAGAACCCTAAATATTTATGCACATGGCACAAGAAAACTCCATATTATAGAGGGTAAAAAAAAACTTACAACAATGAAAGGAAAAAAGACACATCTATAAATGTATTAATGATTTCAACATTCCTCTCTTGGTAACTGATAGAACAAAAAGCTGTAAGGACAGAAGATTAGGATAATACTCTAACTCCTGGACCCAAATGACATTTTTTTTCTTCACAATTTATTCATTATATATCCCAATTGAAGCTCCTCCTTCAACTCCCCCAATCCCACTCTCCCTCCCTCTTCCTCTCATTCCCTTTCCCTAGTCTACTGAAAGGGGAGTTCTCCACTATTGCCATCTGCCCATAGCTTGTTAAGTCTCATCAGGACTGCTTGGATCCTCTTCCTCCATGGTCTGGCAAGGCTGTATCATGAGGATCGAATGATCAAAGAACAGTCAACTGAGTTCATGATAGAGGCAGTCCCGGACCCCCTCACTCAGAGATCCACATGGAGACTGAGCTGCCAATCAGCCATGTCTGAGCAAGGGTCTAAGTCCTCTCCATGCAAGGTCCTCTGACATTTACAGACCATCTACTTTACCAGACAGAAGTAAATAAGCTTTTAAAGTGATAGTGGTTGTTTTCTTAGTCATAAGATAGGCATCAATAAATTTACAATGGTAAAAATTTATATAAAATATCTTCCTACCACAAATAATTAGATATTAATCATCGAAAAATATTCAAGTAAGAATGTATTTAGTTTGAAAATGTAATACTTAGTTGTTGATGCTGGGTTATGGGCAAAACAGTAGCTAATTATGATATTCTTGTACTTCAAAAATGTTTGAAAATTTACAATAAAATATTAAAGAAGATGAGGGTAGATTATTATTGGTATTACAGATATGAGTACACAGGGAATATTCAATGCTTTAGCTGCTTTAGAAAATGACTTGGCACTTTCTTGTAAATATCATTTTAGTAGCTTGTGTCCTTGTCATTCTGTTCCTCAATATTTGCCCAAGAGAAATGAAAACATAAGCTCACGTGCAAAGCACCTCATTATCTTTAATACCTGGAAAGAAACCAAATGCTCTTGAATAGGTGAATGGAGAACAAGCTGTAGACATCAGTACAATGCAACACCACAGAGTAACTGATGCGGAGCAAGAGCAGATACATGCAGCAGCAACGTGGAGGGCTTAAGTGTATGCTGATGAGTGGAAGGAGGCAGGCTTTAAAAGGCCATGTGTTGTGTGCCTCTATGGTATGCAATTCTGAAAAGACCAAACTGTATTTAAAGAAAACTCATCAGTATTTGTTAGGACTTTTAGTGAAGTGGAGGGCAAGAGTTGACTACAAAGAGGCATAAGGAAATTCTGGGGTTAGGGACTATTGCATACTTAATGAGAGTAGCCATATGATTGTCAAAATTCACAGAAATGAAAATTGGAGGATGGATACTATAGCAACGACATTTTAAAAACAGAAAGGCCACACCCACTAAGAAAAGGGCTGGAACCACAACCCTGCTTCTTACTCTCATATTCACAACACGGGAGTCTTTTGATCAGCAACATCAGCATTATTTTAGAACTTACTAAAATTTGGGGGGCTTGATCCAAATCTATGGAATCAGAACTCTAGTTTTGGCCAACCCTTCTGTTAGTTCTGAGGAATGAAGGGAGGTGGGAGAACCTGACTCTCCACTGTTTTGCAAACTCAAACTCTCTGGGATGAAGGCTGGCATCAGTCTTATTTGATTCAAATCAGGCACTGATTTGAACTTGTAGCCATCAACAAACATGCTGTGGCAGGTCAGCTGTTTTCATCACCAGCATCTGGAAGCTTCTGCTGAAGTTTTAATGTGTCTGAGTCCCTGACACTGGCTTTGGGCTCACAAGTGGCCCCTTCTGGTCTTCAAGAAATCAAGACTTAGGCCTTGATTTCACAGGAGTCAAAAGCAGCCCCTGACTCACACTGCACACCCCAACTTGGAACAATATACCCCTACTGAAGTCCATATTTGGCCAAAC